CAGTGTGCCCAGGTGGCAAAAAAGGCAACGGCATCCTGCCCTGTATTAAAAATAGTGTGACCAGCAGGAGTAGGGAGGTTATTGTCCCCCTGTACACAGCACAGGTGAGACCTCAACTCGAGTCCTGTGTCCAGTTCTGGGCACCTCAGTGCAAGAGAGATGTCGAGGTGCTGGAGCGGGTGCAGAGGAGGGCAATGAAGCTGGTCAAGGGGCTGGGGGATTGATCGCATGAGGTCTGTTTGAAGGAGTTGGGTCTGTTTAGCAACGTTCTAATGCTGCTATGACTCAACTCTGAGGCCACAAAGACAGCATTAGCACCTTAGAGCTCTTACCTCATGAGGTGGCACGTCAGACTCTTCTCGCAAGTAACAAGCAATAAGACAAGAGGAAATGGTTGTGCCAGGGGAGGTTTAGATTGGATATTAAGAAAAACTTCTCCACTGAAAGGGTTGTCAAGCTTTGGAACAGGCTGCCCAGGGAAGTGGTTGAGTCGCCATCCCTGGATGTGTTTAAGCATCGCTTGGATGTGGTGTTGAGTGATATGGTCTAGGGGTGAACTTGCGAGTAGGGTTAATGGTTGGACACGATGATCCCAAGGGTCTTTTCCAACCTGGATGATTCTGTGATTCTGTGAAAATGTTGGTTTTGTGGACACTCATCTCTGGAGGAAAGTCCTTCTAAGGGAAGAGTCCTTACCATGGTGCTCCAACCAGCTCAGCAAAGGCAGTTTTGGGATATCTGTGATTTATGGCTACGCTGAAGCCTTGTTTGATCACATGGAGGAACTGGCAACCAAATGATACCTGACATGCATTCAGACAGGCATTTCTCTCCAGAAAACCCCTAAACTTTTACACTAAGGATTTTTCTCAGTTATCCAAACATATAAGCAGCCTGAATTCCTCCTACATGATTCTGACCGACCTCCATACAGATTATAAGGGACCTCCTAGGTCACTTATAATCTGTATAAATGTTGGTTTTCAGTAGATTTGAGTCCATGTCAGATGCATGAACGTTGTATCAGTCATCAAATGTATTACCACAGAAGTATATAAGAATAAATTCAAATTTGTAAAAATTTACAGCCTCTTAATCTGACTTCTCTCCTTGGACAAGCTGGACTTAAGCCATTTGTATTTTCAGGCAGATCTATCTGAACACGAGCATTACCTCATGGCACTTGAAGAACGGGGACGTCTCCAGGGTAGCACGGATACCCTTCAACCGGTTAAGGTAACTGTTCTGGAATTACAAAAAACAAAGACCCAAGCCATCAGCACTGCGGGAAGCCTACATAAAAACTGCTGCATGGGGCAGCCAAGGACGTCACCCCTCCCAGCACCTCTCCACAACACCATATTTGCACGGAGAGATCCCTCAGCCACTCTGTGCTCAGCAGCCTCTCACAGACCTGTCTGCCGGGGAGAGCGTCCCCTCGTTTTTGGAATCCGCTTATTCTTTTGGCCTCTACAGTATCCTGTGAGCTCCTGCATCCTCCAAAACTTAGACAGAGCATTTGCTTTTGCTGAACCAGTGCTTTCTGCAGTCTTTCCCTGCTGTAACCACAGTGCTCCCATGGAGGGAACAGCTGTGTGTGCACAGCCAGGCTGCTTTTCTTCTCTCATCTGTCCTTATTTTACTAGGTCAGCTCTTCACTTCATCCGTCATCTTATCACTCAGTCATTGAAGCATCGTGAGATACTTCTGTGACTCTATATTGGCACTTCTGTGAAGTTGGTACCAGAGGAGGAAGGGCTTTCACACTAGTCAGCATGCATGCTGAGGCCCACGTGCCTGTTTGCGCATTCCTACAAACTGCTGGAAGGCACTAAACATTCTCCAGAGGGGCCCTCTGACAATTTTGTTCTGAGGTTTAGGTAGAAGGACTAAGCACAGGAACACGCATAGCAGTTATGTGGGCACTATAATACACCTAGATTTTCACATTTGACTGCGCAGGGACACATAGGGGTCGCTGTATTGAAATGGTTTGGCCGAGAAGCCCTGTCCAGAGCCAGAGCCAGGGTGTGAAGGTGTGAGTGTGCTCCAAGCTCTTTGGGGATAAAACACAGTCAGGCAACTCCATTTTCAGATCCAGGAATAATCCCTGGGTAACTCCTGTCAAAGCAAACATGATGGTTCGAAGGAGGCAGTGCTAGAGGCCACTCCAGCTGGAGCCTTGTGCTTGTAGGCTTTATATATAGTATAGCTTAAAATGGGAGCGCTTTGTAAAACAGGGTATTTGACACAGTCAGTGTAAAGTGTTTACAGCTACATCTCTTATTCTCCTCGCAACATAGAGAAACTTGGGAAATGCCAGCTACGGCTTGCCTACGCCAAGGGTGCCACGCTGCTGCAGCAACCGTGTCCCCTCCTAGTTTTCCGCTGCTCTCCCCTCACCCCTGGATTGCATTCCTCACCAGGATTGCATTTCTCTTGGCCATTTTTCATGGTCTTTTTTTAAAAAGAGGTTGCTCAGGCTGCAGCCCCTCAGGGGAGTGAGGCAATGAGCTGAGAAGCTACCCCCCAGCATCCCCCACTCACCAAAACGTTGCGGTTTCCTCTGGTGAACTCCCTGAAGGCCTCCATGACTTGATCCTTTGTCCGTGTCTTCTTGAAGTCTCGGTTCACAGTCCCATCCTCTTTCTTAAAAAGAAAGGAGAGTGGTGAGCAGGACAGGGAGGGAGGGAACTGAGGTAAGGACGGGTATTTCAGCAGCCACATAAGGCCGGGTATTTCACCAGCCACATGTGTGTCCCCGAGTAGGATGCGACCAGCTTTCTTTGGCAGCTGAAGGACCTGTCTACAGAGGAGAGGTGAGAAGAGGCAGCAGTTTCTGCCTTGCAAATCCCAAACCATCCTGCAGCGCCACTGCTTTGCCCCCTAACACAAACGGCAAAGTCTCCACCATTGCTGAGGTCGCCAGCGATACAGATGAGCTATGTCTCATGGGTCAGGCGTTCAATGCCCACCGGTGGCTGGAGACCACTAATTTCAGGCTACACCGTGCCTGAATGTCTTCCCATCGCTGCTGTGGCAAATCACAGGCGTTGCCACGGTC